TTGACATACATCTGACGTATACTACAACGTCAGCTTCTTTCTTTCTTTCTTTCTTTCTTTCTTTCTTTCTTTCTTTCTTTCTTTCTTTCTTTCTTTCTTTCCTTTTCTTTCTCAGGGAAGTCAAGGAAAGCGGGGTTAAGCCATGGTGACTCACAGAATCAAGGAAGCTAGTTTCGGATACTCTTGTTTATTTAGAATTTGATAGTGACTTCTGACTTCTGCAAAGTATAAACACTCCCAGTAGGCAAAAGCCACGCAAGTCAATTTCATGTCTAGTGAAGGCCACACACAGCACATAGCATGTGAGCTGGCATGGTGCAGTAGTCTGACTAGGATCTGGGAGACCCAGGTTAAAATCCTCACTCTGCCATGGGAGCCCAGTGAGTGAGATTGCGCCAGTCACACACTCTCAGCCTCACCTACTTCACAAGGTTGTTGTGAGGATAAAATGGAGAAGAAAATGACACAAGCCACTTTGGATCCCCATTGGGGAGAAATGTGAGACATAAACAAACTAAAATCAATGATTTTTTAAAAAATGTTCAAATTGGTACGTTGTTTAAATGTAGTAACACCACATAACCTTGCACTTAGCTATACCATTTCCCACACGTTTTCAGTGCTGACAACTCACAGATCAGTTGTGTAGTAGAGTTGCCACAAGCTGGGTGGGGCTGTGGCTCATTGGTAGAGCATCTGCTTTGTATGCAAGCAGGCCCCAAGCTGAATCCTTAGCACCTCCAGGTAAAAGGTTTAAGCAACAAGTGATGTGAATGCAGGCTTGCCAACCTCCATTGAGCTGTGCCTATGTTATTTTGGAAATCAGATTCCGTTTTACCAGCCGCTGCTGAAGATCATTGAAATGTCTTGATTTATACCTGGGAGAGACGTACGGCTGTTATTCTTTCCACAGTGGGCGCCTTTTGCTGCAGTTATTTTCTGTTTGGAGGTCAGTTGTTGGATCCCAAGCATTAAAATAACTCCACGTTGAAGGACAAAGCAAGGTTTATTTCAAAGCGTTGGTTTAGCCAGAACAGGACATTGTTAGGAATAACTACAGGGGACCAGGGAAAGCATAATATAGACATTTGAACCAGGTCAGGACCAATGAGCCCATTTCCCGCTGGCGGGAATAGAACATACAATTCGCGCCCATTGCATGGGAACGTAACAGTTCTACAATATCAACACAGGTTCAGTTCACAGGCTAGATACCCAAAACACTCTAGGCGAAGCTTTCCTCCTACTACCAGCTGCACGACCTTGGCGAGTTCCGCGGACTACAAAACATAATACAAGAAAGACGCGAGGGGGGGGGGGGAAGAGAAAGAAATCATACAGGAACCAGAATGACAATGGCAGCTATAGCTGACATCAGTGGAACTACAGAAGAGCCTACTGTTGGTTTTGTAAAATATGCTTAATTGTTATGAGCAATCTGTTGGATAAGTGTCTATCCATTCTATTGGGTTATGACCACTAACCCTTCTTTGTATTTCAATGAATGCAATATACGGTTTTGAGCACATGTAGTTGTGAATTGTGGATGGTCTTCCCTTGGTGGGTGTTGTTTGTTGCTAAACCTCCAGATGGTGGCTGGAGATCTCCTAGGATTACAGCGGATCTCCAGGTGACAGGTAGGAGGTTTGCCAGCCTCCAGGTGGGGCCTGGAGATCTCCCGCTTTTACCACTGATCCCCAGCTGACAGAGTTCATCTCCCCTGGAGAAAATGGCTGATTTGAAGGGTGGACTCTGTGGCATTGGACCATGCTGAGGACCCTCCCCAAACCCCACCTTCTCCTGGATCCACCCCCAAAACTCTCCAGCTATTTTCCAACCCAGACCTGGCAACCCTAGCAACAGGTATCAGTTCACCTGGAGAAAATGGCCACTTTGGAAAGTGGACTGTATGGTACTTACTTTACCCTTCTGAAGTCCCTCACCAGACTCCACCCCCCAAAAAAAATGTCAGTCAGAGTGGGCAATACTGACCTTGGTGAACCAGTGGCCTGATTCCATAGAAGGCAGCTTCCTATGTCCACTGGGCAGTGCATAAGCCCCTAAGCTTCATGGTCAAGAGAGCTAAAGGCCAAGCTAAACGTGATTAAGACAAACGTGTTTACTTCCACATGCCTTCACCATTTGCACACAAAGTGGGAGGGATCTTATTTTAACAATAAAAGCCATACATTGGAGAGAAGCACTGACCCTACCCCGCCCCCCTCTCTTTCTCCAGTTGTTTTTCTGTGTTCTCTGATCATTTCCGATGAGTGAACCAGGAACAGAAAAAAGTTCATTCAAACTCCAGAGCAAATGTTGCACATCCCTGAGTGCTATTTTCAAACACATTTTAGTATTACTCTTTAGTCTTTCTCGCCCAGATCGGGTAAATCTGACAGAGGATACATAGCGCAGATGATTTGGAGGCCTAAGGTCAGGCTAAAAGGCATGCCTGGCTAGGCAGTTCAGTTCATTCTTAGTGAAACCCCTGATCCTCACAGATCCTCAAAGTTCAATAGCTGAAAAACCCTTGGAGCCATTTTCATCAGGGAATAGGGGCAGAATAGGATGCAAAGGGGGGAAAGGAGCTTCCTCCAAGGGGAAGAAGAATGCGTAGGTTCTTCAAGTAGGATCTCCTTTCCTTGAGGCTGCTGCAGTGCTTCAGGGCACGCACAAAAGAAAAGCAAAACAAAAAAGGGGGGGGGAAACAATCCTCAAATGTGAATCTGAAGGGACAAAAGACTGGCAGGGAAAGTCCCAAAAAAAAATATTGTCAGTGTGAACTGACTGCATGGATAACATGATCATTGAGACTACCAGGACACCGACGAAAACACGAAAGGCGGTTGCAGTCTGGAAAATGCCCAAGTTGATCCCACATTGGCTCTTTCCTTCCCTGTCAATCCCACGTTAGGCTCCTCTACCCAAGCTGAGTCATATCCTCTTCAGGGCTTTTTTTGTAGAAAAAGCCCAGCAGGAACTCATTAGCATAACTGGCCACACCCAACAGCAGAAACGTATTAGCATATTAGGCCACACCCCTAATGATTCATCTCATTAGCATATTAGGCCACACCCCATGCCTTCCTTTGGCTTGCCTTTCTGATCCTTCCAGGGGGCCCCCTGGCCCGCCCGCCTTGGAGTTGCGGGAGGGGGTCACTCTCCAGGCCTTCCCT